ACAAGCCATCTATTTTGAGAACTTAAAATTCTGTGTCACCGGGCAACTAACATCACCAGATAAGTATTACAACAGCGAGGCATGCTGTAACCGGTTAGACATTTGCTCATCAATTGGAACGTTGAAAATCAGTACATATACTTGGGATTGACAAGAATGAAACTGAAATATTGCTAGGTCTTGATTTGAACGCTTCTCACCAATAGGGTAAAGAGAGCATAATATTATGCATTAAACAGGTTATGTATGGATGCAGGGAGTTAAGGTGTAATAATCAGAAAAAACGAAGCAATGGACGAACATCATAGATGTAAGTAAAGCTTAAGAGTAGAGAGCACCACCCATAGACATAAGTAAAGGTCAGACACGCTGAAGAGTGGAATTTGGAAAGCAGCGCCGCCCTGCGGCTTTTTAGATAACTGTACTGACTTGTTAGGAACGCCAATTCGTTGTATGAATCTGTGAGGAAAGTTGATCAGTGAGAAGAGATTGAAAATAAACACACACCCGTGACATGGACACTCTGTGTGATGTTTCCTTATTTTTTTCCTATCACGGCATGAAGTCTAAGAGCAGAGTACGAAATACGCCTACAACTATGAGTATTAGTCTGGTAATGATATCCAATCCCAAAAGGTTATGAAAAACTTAAACTTTTCTCCAACTCAAAATTTGACTCACCAGAAATTTTCGACCGAATCACTCAGTCTTCCTCAGCTATCTGACCCAAATGCTGTGGACACGTGATTTTCCCACGTGTGACGTCAGCAAAGGGTCAAAGGTTGTCTGAAGTCGATATCGCCCCCCGTCCCGGTTGAGCGATGGTTGAAGTGCCCTGATGTATATGGCCTCTTTTATGCCTCTCTTGAAGTAATCCTGTTCGGTATCCAAGATTCTGACCCCCTCCAAATCCACTGTGTGTCCCGGTGATTCGTGGGAAAAATCACGTGTCCACAGCATTTGGGTCAGATAGCTGAGGAAGACTGAGTGATTCGGTCGAAAATTTCTGGTGAGTCAAATTTTGAGTTGGAGAAAAGTTTAAGTTTTTCATAATGTAATTTACCAACTCAGATGAACTTTCATGCTAATCCCAAAAGGTGTTAGTTGTATGCACGCAGGCTTCCCATCAGATAACTTGTAGAAATACTCAGCCCCGAAAACACACATTTTGATTTTTGACTAATCTTCATCGTGCTAAAATACAAGAACAAAACTCTAGCAACAAACAACATGGAATGTCATTTCGATGCCCCCACCCCACCTACTCATTACACAGAATAATAATCACGCACTTACATTAAAATGTTTCTCGACTAGTCTCCAACCAACTTCACAGAACCCCCCCCCCAAAAAA